TAAAAAGGGAGCAATTACATCACATTCTCGTGTGGGCACACGAATCTCAGTCCAAAATTGAGCTTTAGAGAAGAAATTTCAGCATTGATGCTGTATTCCCGTTTGGCCAAACCGAAATAGGGACTAAAAAAAATTTAAAAAGTTTTGGGATCAAAATATAATTTTGCCAAACTTGAGGGACCAATTTGCAAATATCGGAAAAGTTAATTTGATGCTGCGGCTGACCTAATTGTTCCCATATAAATTGATTTTATTCTTTTCTTTTGGAGGGGGGCTGAACGTCAGAAGAAGAAGAGGAGGCTGGAGTGGTCCTAAGCCGCCTATCTAGCCCTTTTGGGCGCTATTCTTCCCCATTCTCCATAGTATTGTTTCAGTAAGGCATTATTATGTGTAACTAAATTACTTTTCCAGTTGAAAGATATTGAAGCCTTGGTTTGAATAGTTGTGAGATCCAAATGTTGTTTCTCTCTCAATTTCTTGTGAGTATTTGCTTGTTCTATTGCATGATTGATATGATTATTGTGGATTGATGAATAGCTGGTAGCATTTGATGCTTCTTAATAATCTAAAACCAATAAGACAACAACGTTTGTTGTTTAAATAGGGTATAATATAATTTAATTACTTGGTAAGTAATTATTTATGTTATAAGAACATGTAATCCGGTTTAATATAAAACAAGGTTTGTTTTATAGGAATTGGGATTGGGTCTTTGTACTTAATGCAGTCGTTTTCTTAATCTTAGGAGGTTCCAGGATTTAATTTCGACTAGTGTATTTAATGAAGGTTTTCTCAATCACTAAACTTAGTTTAAGATTGAGTTGTTAGGAGGTTCCAACAACGAAAACTAATTTGCCTATAAGTGATTGAGCATATCATTGCATCTATGATCAATTGTCTAGACCAAGGTGGATATAAAATCTTTTGACTAGGAACTTTCTCATAATTTGCTTTCATTTTTCTTTTAACTATCATTTGAATTTTATTTTAACTACATTTTAGTTTTAAAAACTGAAAACCCCCCTTTCAGTTACTGATGAACTTATAAAACTTGTTGATGAGTCTTGTGCTAGTCTTCCGTGTGCTGAAGATGGTTTATCTGTCCAATATGGTGAAAATATTTGTTCTACTAATATTGATGCGATTAATGTGAAAGAAAATTTAGTCTTAAACTCAAGTCCATGTTTCTTAGGTAGATCATTTCGAAAAACTGCTAGGATAAAAATGATAAATGGAGTCACATCATTATCAAAGGAATATGTGAATTTGAATGTTAAAAGTGCTCCACGAGTTGATTTTTCTAGTAGTTTTGTTTTTGAATTTGTGCCTGAAATTTATGAGAAATGGCAATCTCAAAAATTTGAGTTAACACATGTGCCTATGCATATGGAGTTTCCATATGGACATTTATCTAGACCTCCTGAATTGGGGATAAAGATGAATGTAATTCTAAAATTTCTTGATGATTGTGGAATGAGTTTAATGCATGATGTCATGGTATATCTGTGGAGAAAGTGTGGTGCTTTAAAGAAACATTTAGAGGAGATCACTTTCCACCATCTTATGTTGATTTAAAGTGTGCATATAAATTAGGAACTTCCTACTCTGGTTTTGTTGAGATTTTTGTAGGATTTTCACAAGTTTCAATTATGTGTGGACCTTGCAAGTTTCCACCGTGATGCACCAAAACTGTGTCTAGCCCAAGACATTAAAGAATGGCGCTTGTTGGGAGGCAACCCAATGGTTTGATTTTTGTTATTTTTTTTCTTGAATAAATCAGTTGGGTGGTTAAGTTTGTTATTCCGGATGATTTTGAGAGTTATGATTTCTTGATTTTTGTGGTTTTTCTTAATCATTTGATTGGCGTAGTGTTAGTTTGTTTTAATGGTTTGTTCAAGTGTGGCAGCTTGCTTTTAATGAGTATTTTATGGTTGGTCAACCCACGTGTGAATGCATCAAAAGCTGTGGACCTTTACTCACACCAAATTTTGTTTCGCCACTACAAAATCCCAAGGAAGTACCATTTCTTTTTCTTTTACATTATGTGGGAGTTTGCATGTACTTTTCTTGTTTGTCTATGTATGTTTTATGCATTGAGGACAATGTATACTTTAGGTGTGGGGGAGGAATTTGTGTTTCTTTGAGAATTATCAATAGTCTATGATGATTCAATTTTGAGAGTTTCATATGACTATAAAAATACCTGTTCAAGATCACTCTCAAGCATGTTAGAAACTCGTAACCACATCTTTATGCACAACATTCCACTTGACAATGTGTTTGCTTTGGGCTTAAAATTTTTAAATCTTGAATGCATTAATGCATTGTTGTGATCTTATACTGGAGTCCACTTGTCTGAAACCTGGGGGGACTGTGAATCTGGGAGTTAGACTAAGGCAATCCTACGCATTATGGCAGCCTCGAATCGAGCCCATAGTGGTTTGTATTAGCCTAAATACCTTGGGGAAAAGGGAAAAGTTGGCGGTTGAATATGAGCTTAAGTGCTTTATCTAATGAGGGAGTATAGACAGAGTGTCCAATGTGGCATTTAATCCCTTGAGAGGTGAGGTATGGCACCAAAGAGAGGAGTGTCCTCAGGCCTGGTGAGTTTAAATAGAAAATGCTTAGATTACCATAGTTGCTGAAATATGTGCTTGGTATAGGCCTGAGTGGGAAAGATCCAGAAGAAAAGCCAATTTGGACAAATGGATAAAAAGGTACGAGGGTGAAAGATCCAACCAATGATGCTTGCAGAAAATGAGAGGAAGCCCTTAGATCGGAACCTCAGTAAGAATACCCTAGTTGAAGGCAAGAAGGAAATAGGTACTGATCACAAGAATGTTCACTTGAAAGTAATTGAATCTAATCTTAGGTTAAGCAACACTTTGTTTTGTGGTCCGTTTCACACACTCACGGAAGTGAGTTTCTGACTTGATCAAGGGATACTGAACCGTGGTATACATTATTTGTCTCTAATGAGACTAGAATCTGAGACAACTTTTGACAATTCTCTTTGTTGTTTTTGCATGTTAGAGTCAGTAGGAAAGGATATTATCATGTTTACTTTGAGTTGCTTGCGTTTGCTTGAGGACAAGCAAAAATCTAAGTGTGGGGGATTTTGATAGGTCTTGAAGTTTCATGTTATTTATGGGTGTTTGTATAGCATTTTGGATTAGATTGTGCACTTATGTTGTGTATTTTGATGTTTTTGGTTTTTAAGAGTGATTGGAACTGAGATGAAGAAAAATGTTCCATAAACACACATTTTTGGAGCATTTTGACAAGGAAGCATAAAAATGGAGCAATGACATCACATTCTCGTGTGGGCACACGAATCTCAGTCCAAAATTGAGCTTTAGAGAAGATATTCCAGCATTGATGCTGCATTCCCGTTTGGCCAAACCGAAATAGGGACTAAAAAAAAATTTAAAAAGTTTTGGGGTCAAAGTATAATTTTGCCAAACTTGAGGGACCAATTTGCAAATATCGGAAAAGTTAATTTGCTGCTGCGGCTGACCTACTTGTTCCCATATAAATTGATTTTATTCTTTTCTTTTGGAGGGGGGCTGAACGTCAGAAGAAGAAGAGGAGGCTGGAGTGGTCCTAAGCCGCCTATCTAGCCCTTTTGGGCGTTATTCTTCCCCATTCTTCATAGTATTGTTTTAGTAAAGCATTATTATGTGTAACTATTTTCCAGTTGAAAGATATTGAAGCCTTGGTTTGAATAGTTGTGAGATCCAAATGTTGTTTCTTTCTCAATTTCTTGTGAGTATTTGCTTGTTCTATTGCATGATTGATATGATTATTGTGGATTGATGAATAGCTGGTAGCATTCGATGCTTCTTAATAATCTAAAACCAATAAGACAACAACGTTTGTTGTTTAAATAGGATATAATATAATTTAATTACTTGGTAAGTAATTATTTATGTTATAAGAACATGTAATCCGGTTTAATATAAAACAAGGTTTGTTTTATAGGAATTGGGATTGGGTCTTTGTACTTAATGCAGTCGTTTTCTTAATCTTAGGAGGTTCCAGGATTTAATTTCGACTTGTGTGTTTAATGAAGGTTTTCTTAATCACTAAACTTAGTTCAAGATTGAGTTGTTAGGAGGTTCCAACAACGAAAACTAATTTGCCTATAAGTGATTGAGCATATCATTGCATCTATGATCAATTGTCTAGACCAAGGTGGATATAAAATCTTTTGACCAGGAACTTTCTCATAATTTGTTTTCATTTTTCTTTTAACTATCATTTGAATTTTATTTTAACTACATTTTAGTTTTAAAAACTCAAAACCCCCCTTTCGGTTACTTATTTGAAAGAAACGAATCCATCAGTCCCTGAGGAGACGATCTTGCTTTCCTATGCTACTAGTTTGAAAGTAGGTTAAATTGTTTGTTAGCTTGACACCCCACCACACATCCATAAAAGAGTTTGGAATTATTGATTGTACGTATTTCAAACAGCCCTCGAGGATTGACTAGGTTGGATGATCTTCCGGATGAGTTACGATTATGGCTTTATCATAATATGGTTGGTGTTTCCTACCAACTTTATGTAATAAACTAGAATATTAGGCTCTTTGCCTCCTTTATTGTTTATATCTCCTAACGATCCAGCGATTCAAGAAATTTTTCTTGGAAAAAAATCAGGAGCTGAAGTTATTAGTTCTATTGGACACATGGAAATCCAAAACAAGAACTATAGCTCTTTCTACGTAGGTTAATAAGTAGCTTCATGTCCTTGTTGCTTTGGTTGTAAGCTAATCACTAGGGGTTCAAATGAGATCATCCCATTCTGTTATTTTTATTGTATTATATCCTGGTGAAAACCAACGTTTTATTACTATTTAATTATGTTTTGCGTATGTAGTTTTGATTAAATATAAAATTAAATACATTATTTCACTACTGAGGTTGAACTAGCCCGTGAAATTGTAATTAAACTACATCGACAGAAACAGAAGAGATCATTCAGTTGGCATTATATATCTAACTTCAAAACTTCTCATAGAAGAGTAAAAGTCACACCCATACAAATATATATGTCTTTATCTCTGCTTCTCAAACTACAATAATATAACAGTGAAGGAAGAACAAAAGGAGACAAAGTGGAATTAATATGGTCCATCTTGCTTCTCTACTGCTGAAGAAGATTTCTGATAGTTTCTGCATCATTGGCATTAATATCACCAGATGCCAAAAGCTGAGAGATTCTATCACTGAGATCATCAGCATCCTTGTTCAGTTTTTTAATGTAATTACAGACCTCTTCCAACGTTTTCGATGGGTGTGCCTGATCAGCCAAATCGAATAAAAACATGGTTAGAAGATTATGAGTATTTCATAAACTGTGACACAATAACCTTTTAAATGTTTTGTGAAAGTTTCGCCCTCATTCATCATTTTAGACGTCCATTCCAGAAAATTAGTATACTTTGTACGTCGATCAAAAATTGGTTTGTTAGTCTTTTCCATTTATCACTGTAACATGCACTACTACTTGAGCTGATTGGATATTTGATAAAGATAAAAAGTCATTTTTGAGCTTCTTCTGCTTGAAACAAAAAGAAAGAAGAGAAACCCTCCAACCCATTTGGAATTCGCATAATGATTGAAAAGAGAACTGAATATCAAATGATCAAGACATACCCTTTTGTTTCTTGAGCTTGAATTGGGCAAGAGTCTTTGTAGCCTGAAGATTAGACCACTAATCTCATCATCCCTGGACCCTGATGATGTTCTTGAACTTCTGCTAGACATGATTTTCGATTCGCTTGTGGTGCCGAATGTGTTTGATGATCGTTCTAATGATGTTACTATGAGGTTATGAATGGAGTTCATGGTTGAAGAATTCAAGGGGTGTAGGGTTTAAATAGGGTGAATGAGTGTGAAATTTTTGTGGTTTAGTTAGAAGAAGACAAAGCAGACATAATGCATAAACAGTTAGATTCATGTTGATGAATTCATATAATGGTGAGACCCCATTGGTCTCAATCTTCAACACAATTTAGACCCCACAAAATTATATCTTGATCATTTTGCTGATTTTAGAATTGGAAATTATACATTGTCTTATCAGCGGAGTCTTTCAGTTTAGATCCAAATTCCAACTACTATTCGTTATAAATTCCGCCCTTCAGATGAACATAATTGTTCCCTGTGGTTGCGTTGAATAGTGACTTTAAAAAATGATGTAGTTTATATGTAGAGGCTACCAGAAAGTGCTTGTTTTTATTTCATTGTGTACGATTGTGGCTTATTCTGGGCCTTACCTTTGTCTGATTCATTGCCTTTTCCTTTGATTCTGAACTTCCATGTATTTGAGTTCACATTTTGATGTGTTTTTGAGAAGAAAAAAGACTCAATTTCAAAAGGTTCGTTGGAAATTGTCTACACTTGAGGTTTTTGTTTTTTGTTTCTTTGTTTGTTTTCTTTTTCTTTTTTCACTTTTTTTTTTTGGTGAATACGAAATTCGATTTCAATTTTTTGTTTTTTTTTTTTGTTTTTTGAGAATGATTCGATTTCAATTAGGATGAACGAATAAGTAGGAAGCATTTGATTTTATATCTTCTTCATTAGAAATAAGTTTAAAAAGATCATATTGATACGCCAAGGTTTATGAGAGAAAAAAGTATTCATTGATTACATCAATTTCTATTCCTTGCACAACTTTTAATAAGAGAGTAGAGAACTTCAAGCGAAATCTTGGAGTTGAAAATGTTAATTTGATTTTCTGTCGGGCTCCGGCCTCTTTCATTTTTTTCAAAAAAATATTAATTTCAGTTCTTGAATCCTAGCTAGTTCTCAAGGTTATTCCAGAAAGGGACTCCATATATATCGAAGTTTCTGAATGTGGTAAGTTGACATTATCAAATTTCCATCTCGATCTCACAGAGTTTGGAAGTTAAATTTCATACTATCAAGGTTAAACCGTGACCAAATAGGTTTTACATACCAAACAAGGCTAGTGCTTCTGTTTTGATACTTTTCGGATACTGTTCATCGGTTTGTCATATTTTGCCCGGGGACAATCTCGACATCAGGGACTGAATCTTCACCCCGATTTGATATCCTATCAACTATATGGGAAGTTGGTAATGTTGCTCTGTCACAAACTGCCCTAAGAAACCCCAACTTGATTGATCTCAGCTATCAATAGAGTAACAAGCATGTCGTTTTGCTCACAATGAACAAAATTCAGTTCATGTTTAATTGTCTTGGTTTATACAAGATAATCAAATGCAATGTTGCATATCCAATGCAGTCGCATGGCTTTATTGAACCAATTTGTGAGGGGGAAAAAGTTACTTTGATGGCAAAAGATTTTGTTATTTCTGAACATTTTAAACGAGTCAAACGGTTGGTGATTTAGGTTGCATGTTTGCAAATCGAGATTTATCCCGAATCACAGAAATAATGACTTGAAAATTTAATCCAAGATGCATTGACATAGTCGATATATTCAAAAAAGCCTATTGTACAGCAGTTTTGAAGGGGAAGAAGAGGTTCTTTTGCCAAAAAGGTTCGTAGGGCCTTGATAAATCAAAAAGTCTTTGTGATTCGACCACTCAACAGAAGAATCGGGCTGGATGAAAAAACGACAATCAAATTGGATGTATGCCTCTTAATTTGGCCACAAGTTGGGATCATTAAGCTAAGAGAGTTTGTACTTAATGCCGACATAGCAATTTAGATTGAAGGGTTCTGCAACTTGGTACAATATACTTGTATTTGATAAGAAATGATATACAAGTATATAGGCAAATCATATTCTGAGTCTGCCTCACTAACTAGGAAGTAATGAAATCGTATACTTGTATTGTTTCGAGCGGCTACATTTCTACCTTAACCTGAACACTGTGGTTTGAACTCTTGACCTTCTGATTTCAAACTATCCATCTTTGCCATCTAATCCTCTAATATGTTCAGAACTAACATTATACCCTGAAAACCTTTAGCTGCCTCTGTTTAACTGATGTACATATATGTATCAATTAGTTTGTTTTCATCTTTTCTCCTTCCACAGTTCAACTTATTCTATATGTGCGCTGGATTCAACGAAAAAATTATTATACGACTAAAACAAACAAATTCAATCATGTAATTTCTTCAAATCAAACCATAATACTGACAACCCATCTATTCAAAATTTATCGACGAAATACAAATTAATAAATTATAACAATAAAAGTATGACTATTCCCGCAATACTAATTTCATAATGGCATTAACATAAAGTAAACACAGAGGAGTAAACTTGTCCATAAAACATGTTTGACAAGCCACTCCAAATTAAACAGGTGAAATTGGTCATTTGGTTAGACTGGTTGAACAATGAAACCAATTTCTGAGAAATGTTGATCAGTTCAGAGTGCAAGATGTCTATATTGAACCCAACAGACTTGTAAATTAAAGTGAAATCTCCAGAAAATATAAAAACACACAATAAAGACGAAAGATCGGAATGAAGTAACAAGATCTTATATGATTTTAGGAGAAAACAAAACACAAAGTTTTGTACCTTGAAGAAAGATAAGATAAACTAACTGGTGAATGTTTCCGGCGAAACAATGTTTGAGGTTGATGGCTAACATATGATTGTACATGTATAGCAGAAGACTAAAAGTTGACCTTTTTAAGTAGAGAAACAAGGTTCAAGAGTATAGTACTGACTACATATGGCCCATAGGTCAAAGAATTCTGCCGGAAAAAAAAAAAAAACACTAGTAATGTGGGGTGTGTATTCATTCATCAGAAAGTAGCACGAAAAAGAAAAACTATTTTCTTTTTTAAACAAAAGAAAACAGGTAAGTATATGTGATTTATAAATAAATTACCAGAACTGAACCATTCCGACTCCATGTTCTGAACTGCACAAAATCATGGTTCTAGGGAAGTCCACTGAAATGAGCAAAAACATTGTTTCCCACAAAATAATCTTCGGACCTCCTCAGGTGATGTACTGAACAAGTTGACGGTCTCACCTAAATGATCTGCAATTGTTTGCTACTTAACTTCCTCATACTGATTGTTACAAAGGGTTCAATGAGCATATACCCTGTTTTTGAAAATCTTTTCTGCCTCTGCTACAGTAAGATGATTTATTCTGTTATCCTTTAACCATTTTTGTTCTCCAACCAAACTAAGTTGAACACTTCTTTCCATTTTGAGCAACTTCAATCCCTCGCTCAATTTGGGGAAGAATCCTTCAGGTCTCAAACACCACTTCCGGAATACCCCAAATAAAATTTCCAAATCATTCCCAAGCTTCTGAACTCCGGAATAATTAAACTTTGCACTACTCATAATAACACCATTAAATAGAGATTGATCGATGCCACTTGCTAAAGATCTCCATACCCTAACAAAGTAAATGGCATTCAAATGTTCTTCCAGCACAGCCAATTTCCCTTGAAGATACTCTAAAGCTCCAAGAAAAGATCTGGAAACAACTAACCCTTCTTCACCCTTCTCCTGCCACTGCTTTCTGTTTCTCAGGTAATCTCGACAACAAGCATCAAATCCACGTAAAACAACTGTTGACAGCTTTTCAACCCATTCTGATCTAAACTTATCCAACTTGTTAACTTCCTTATCAAGAGTATTATCTCCAGTAACTTCCGCTAATCCTCCACTAAGATCACTTCCCGATGGTTCCAATAGATCATCCTGGTTCAATCCTATTTCCAGGAAGAAAACATCTTCAGCCCATTCTTTCAGAACAGACACAAAACTGGAAGCAGCATTAATAGAGATTGCAACTTTAATCAAAGCGTCATCATCAGTCAAAGCTGTTAATCCCTCCGCCTCGAGGCACCTGAGTAGTAAGCCATCTAAGAACTTCTGTATTAGCGGCACACCAGTCAATGATACAAACCTGGACTTCAATGAAACACTAGGTATTGACCGACAGCGCTCAATCACAAAAGAAAGGTGACGTAGTACAATACTTGAAATTGGGGGCGATTTATAGTCTTCTTGACCCGAAAAAGGAGCGCCTTCCTGATTTTTTGTCAACCAGCTTCTTTCATTCTCCAGGTCTGGTTTCAATTTATCAAGGGTGTCATTCAGCTCGATATTGGCCCATAAGTCAAGCCAGTCAGGTCTATCACAGAATACAGATAATGAAGATATCTTATGCTGGCTCCCATCTTCTGGAAAAAATAATATTCCAGAATTAGCAACCAAGGACTGAACTTTTTTGTCAAATGATATCATCAAGTCAATAAGATGCAGCCATGATATTCTAGCTTGCAAATTGATTTCAGGGTTATTCTCTTCATCCAGTTGAGCAACATACATGGGAAAAATTTCTTTCGCCAAAAACATTGACAAGGAAGCCACCATAGCTGACACCCATTCTTCTCTACAACTGTAGCCTGATAGCAATGCTTCATCAACCAGTGGTTGCAACATTTCGTCCATTGAATCAACATAATCTCTCGTGATTTTATACACAAGAGCGAAAATAAACTCTGGCTTATCTATCCATTTTGAGAAATGTCGTTGAGAATCGATTGATAAAGGATTTACAAGCTCTTCAATAGCCCAAAGGGGCTGTCTCAAAGCAACTTCTCTATTATGCCCTTCAAGTTGGCGACCTTTTCTGCGTCTTTGCAATTCTTGCAAACTACATAAAGCAAGAAAGCTTTCACAGTACTGTTGTTTGAGGTCCCCTTGAACTGTGAACAGAGGATTTTGAAGATGAGTAGACCCGTTTGTATCATCACTCAAGGAATTGGAAGATGATAGAGGTGGTGGCCATTTGAGTGAAACAAGAAGGGCTCGATGATCAGCAATTGCTTGAGGTCTTAGAGTAGCTAAAGCTCGATCCACTCTGTGATCAGCAGCAGATACAAGTTGGGTCCACTGAGGGTTAATCTTTGTAATTCTAGCAAGAACATCTTCTATCAATTTAAGACTTTTGATGGCACCAACACGAATATCCTGCAAAGTGGCAGGAAGAAGAATACAAAATCAGAGAACTACTACTTCTGAAATTTTTACTTTCCATATATCCAGCAGTACCTACTTCTGCATTGTTCTTAGATGGCTGCCTTCTCAGCGTTCTATTTACAATTGTAGATACAGCATCTTCGACGTCACCAACCAAGGTATCCAGTTTTAGTGCAGTTTCTGAAATGAAGGAAAAGGGCTGTACTTGAAAAATGTATTACTACCAAGCCAAAACAATAAGTAAATGTAGCTAAACAAAGACAATATACCCAACTGTCAACTGTCTAATGTCATACAATTACTTAAACATTTAACAGATAACTTCCTTCATGGATCCTATTTATCTGAAATGAACTTTCGGAAACCCGAAACATCCACATCCATCACAAATTTATACGTTACTCTTACTAAAATTGGCTTAAACGTCACCCAGAGCACCAAGATTATACTTGAATAATGAAATTAAAATTCTAGTAACAAGGAACTCAAAGATTCACTAAAGAGACAAACACATTTAGCTTGTTTCACTAAACACTCTCAAACTCAACTAATCCAGTCTGAAAAATCCACACCCAAATGGATGTGGGGAAATAAAGAAAAATAGAGCATTTTACACTTCTTAACAAGTTTCATTAACTTTCCAATCTGATAATTCTTACCCTCGTGTAACTGGTGGCAGTCATCCAGATTGATAGAATAGAGAATAGCCTTATGTCAAAAACCAAGGGTCATAACAGCTACAAACTAGCACGAAAAAAGCTTAACTTTGTCGGCTGTGCACGGTCCAAATTATAGACTACTTTTTATAGCAGAGTTCTAATTCACGAAGTCGAACTGCACTCCCTAATGTTATGCATTCAGAGAAAGGGGTCAGGTCTGTGATTATTACAAAACTACTTTCAGCCTTGTGGATTGTAAGAAATCACTCCGTTAAAGGGTGAAGTTAGAACTAGAAAATAGCATGATAAACCCATTTCTGTATCCAGTCATCCTAAATTTTGAGATATGGCTCCCATATAGGATTATTGAAAAATTTTGATAATAAATAGGCATTGTGGTTCCATGAAAATTCATTAGATGATTATGTTTGGGAACTCATGAGTGGATAAATCATAAAACAAATCAAGAGTCAAAATCAGCAAGGCCACAGACTTGGATATGTAATATTACAATTTACTATGAGCTTGGAGAAAGAGCCACCTCTCTTGGCATAAAAGCTTCAGTCCAATAGAATTACGCTGTATAGTGTGTTCTCCAATCTCCATTTTATAGGATATAGGAAACATCTTTGCAGAAACAAGCATAGATATAACTATTTCCTGTAAACTTTAACATCAAATTTCCAGCTTATAGCCATACAAAAGGCTGATTAGAAGCTAGGAACTGACAGAATGCCACAATCAAAGGCTAATAACTACTTGGATTGCATTGGAAACTATGGTTCATGATCAGAGTTAGACTTGGGAAGATGCCCTTGTACTTCAGACTAAAGATTTGTGTTTAAACAAACAGTGGCGTAATGCCATCTATAAATTCACTAGTAGTCATAGAACTAATTGTAATCGAAATACTTTAAATAATCCATGAACGGATGATTGAGGAGCCTACTCATTTTTGCTACATTGTGAACATAACATTTCATGTTCCATTAACTTTCCAATAATCAATGATGAACCAAGTCAAATTTATCAACTTCCATTTTTAAAGTCCAATCATCCAATCAGATTCTACACAAAGAACAAAGGGGAAAAAAAGAAAAAACCAAATTAGAATATAAACTCACCAGCATAAGTTCTTACTGCTTCAACCCTTGCCACCTCCCTGGCCAACGCCGGCAGCTCCTCCCCCAATAATCTTCCTGATCCTCCATCTACACAAAGTATATACTATCAGATATTAACATTAATTAAAAAAAACTTTATTACTAATTAACTTATTAAGATTCTGACACTTTACCTGATGAAGGAGGGGGCAACGTTGTAGACTGAAGGTCAGATAGTTTAGACTTGATGTCAGTGAAAATGCCACTGATTTGATTGGAATGGAAAGTATAATCCGCGAGCAACTGGCTGAACTGCCGGCCAAGATCCAAAAGGTTTTGGTCGAGGTTCTGGCACTCGGTTCGGAGCTCCGAGAGAAGCGTCGGAGCTACGGTATGTAGGTCTTCTTCGGCGGCGATTTTGGCATTGAGGAACGCTAGGGTTGCCGGAGACACAGACGATAGCGGAGGAAGAGGGCGGAGCCGAGATGAATTCTCGGATCGGTTCATTTGAGTCTATCTGAACTCGGGTCGGAGCATCAAGCTTTACAGAGACAGAGCTTCCTCGTCGGGGGGTGGTGAAGTTGAAATGGGGAAGCAGGCTTTCTCTTTCCCGATATAATTTCGGTTCATTTCATATTGGTCCTCAGATATGCCGTAACTATTAAATTAACCTTGTATTTATGAGTAAAAACAAACTAACAAACCCATGGACCAATTTATACGAACTACTCCCTCCATCTCATAATGTAGGTCCTCAACTTTATCCTCAATAAATGATATTAAACCAATTTTCATCTAGTCTTGGTTATAGTTTCAAAACAATTAATGATGTGTAAAATAGATATTTAACACAAATTAATTGTTAAATGATTGTCCCCTTAGTTTACATGTAGAGTCTAAAGTGACTTACTTTTTTTATTAGGAAAATCTAGGGCGGTACCTGGCGACAGGACCCTGATATTATTAATTTAAAGGTAAAAGTTACATAAAGCAGTGCTTAAGACTTATCCAACCGGAAATAACCGTCTTACAAAGTTTTTTATAAACTCATGACGGATCTTGTACAATTACTTCTAGGAACTGTCTTAAAAATATAGTCTAATATCCCCTAACAGTTCATCTTCTAGACTAGATACCTTAGGAGTATGTCTGACAAAGATTAAACAAGTGACTTACATTTTATACGAAATTAATTTTTTTTTATTAAATGGTGAAATTAAATGTTGGGTGTAGGCGAAGGCACGTTTATATTTACTTTGTAAATGAGGAAATAATTAATTGATACAATTTGTTTTTACAAAAGTAATTATACTCAAAATTGATGGAAAGGCATCACAATTCACAATTCACAAGTATCATTGCTTTATTTATTTATTTATTTATTTTCCCCCTTCCTTCTTATTCAGAAAGTTTGAGAATTTTAAGTATGGTTTTGGTTGTCTCAAATATTCCTTGAACAAACCATGGCAAAATTTACTTTTCCTTTCTCTTATAACCCTTGCATTTCATCCTTTCAATTAGTAACTAGTGTCCCACTTCTCAAATTAAGTCCTTCACTAATGATTTCGATAATGATGTGGTACGACAGGCCAAGAAAATAATAATTATGCACGTAATAGTTTTGTAACCAATGATACTTTTGTGTTCTATTATTTTAACTTCCTTGTGAGTGCGAAGATAATGATAATAATAATAATAACAACAACAACAACAATAACAACAACAACAACAACAACAACAACAACAATAATAATAATAATAATATAGAATTAACTAATAATTTTACGCCTTTCTTCTTTAATAGCTATTGCATTTCATACGATCAGTTCGTTACTAATGTTTCTAATCCCAAAATAATTTTTTCACTAATAATTTGGATAATGATAAGGCATGAAGGGTATGTGAACGACACTTTTCCTCTTTACTCCAAGTAATTTTTTCTAATTGTTTTGCGAGGATTGTATGGCAACACTTTTCCTCTTTACTCCAAGTAAATATCAATGGTGTAGCAACATTGGCATCTCTACTTGGAAGGTGGTGGAAAAATGTGGATTTTAAGACAGCGAAAGGGCGTTTGCGCGTGATTTTACCTTCGCTAATCCTATAGGAGATTTGGAAGGTGCGGAACAAAGCACTTTTTGAAGGAGTTTAGCCGAGGCCTATGCAAGTTATATAAGCAATAATGACCCAGGTTCGTAATTTAATGATGATACATGGTTTGAAAATCCGTAATGAAGATGAGAGATCTTTTTTTTCAAATGTTTTCCATGTGCATCTTAGACGGGTGGCTAAGCCTCGAATGTTTGAAGTAAAGTGGCGCCCCCCGATGCTAATTCATATATTCTAAACACTGATGGTTCCTCTAGTTTGAATGAATCCGGATATGGTTTCATTATTAGGGGAGAAGGGGGTACCTTTGTATATGGACAAAGTGCATACCTTAGTGAGGGAGATAGCTATAAGACTGAAATCTATGGCATTCTTTTTAGATTGCAAAAGTGCAAACATTTGCACTTAGAAAATGTAGCTGTTCAGACAGATAATAAGTCTTTGGTTGATGCTCTAGTTGGGACTATTGGTTACCCATGGAAATATATTTTTTTATTACAGGAAATGTCTTCTACTTTACAATGTAATGGATACCGGATTTCACATATTTATATATAGGCAAATGTAGTTGGACTTGATGGCTAAAGATGCAGCTTCTGGAAATTCTACAGTTTATTCTTCACTAAACTCGCTTCCACATTTTGTAAAGGAATTGTTGATCCTTGATCAGTCTTCATTCCCTTACATTAAAAGTAGGTCTGCTTGATGTAATATTGTCTCTTTGAAGGTAGATGATTGGCTTTCTATGATTGGGGTTAGACTATACTCTGCCCTTGGCGATGTTTATTGAAAAGTAATAAAATAAGGGAAGGGTGAAGCTAGGGAAGTAGATAATATATATGTCCATCCCTTGGGTATACCCCTTGGGTGCATTATACTATCTAGCATTGGTTGTCACAAAACACACCTCTTGGATATACCCCTTGAGTGTTTTTGTGGCAGTTGAGGCCTGAATGTCGCCCTAACCTCTCTTTGTTAAAAAAAAGAAGAAGAAGGGCATGTGAACGAGTGCCGAAACAACTAAACTCGCTACTTATATGTTATCAGTTGATGATTGATTTACCGCACAAGAGTAATTAATATTCATTTTTCATGGCATGCAGTTAAGAGAGCACATCTAATGTCTCGACTTTACAATTAGTTGTACCGTTCATTCCATTAAATTGACAGCTACTATATCAATATTTGGAGTAAAAAAAAGTAATGTTTACTCACGGTACCTTTCTTGGTACAACTAATTGCTAATAGATAGAATATTAGCTAGCCACCTACATAACTACATTTATTTATGTATTTTTTGGTTTCTTTATTCCTTGTTTAGTGTGGTTAATTTGATTTTCATAAAGACAAAACGTTGGTAATTTCTTGTACAATTGATTTTAATTTTTTTCCCTCATCATTTGCTAGTTGGTCGTGTAGTAACTTTTATCATCTTATTTAGAGTTTACATGTTTCATATGATCATGTAAGTTAATCGCATAAATTACCAATGCTTATATTATGAAAAGTCATTTTTCTTAATCTCACGCTAGCTAGCTACAGAGGTGCTTTTTTTAATATTATTTGTTCTTTTTTTATTTATGGAAGTACTTTTATTGATTTCTCAAGCATGTAATTAAATCCTCTCATATCATTCATATGCGTTATTCTTTTCCATTTCCTCGGGTTTCAATGTAAAGAATTGAATAATTTATATAAGAATGTAAAAGTTCGTTTGTTTGTGTAGGATACATATTGTACTATCTCATATTCAAAATGATTGTGTTGTTTATGGTTTTAAAATTATACAATAACTAAATAAAATTCTAATACAAGGAAAATATATGATAAAGCATTTCATTAATTTTCAATTCTAAAATCTAAACTTTACTTGGAGTCTTCTTAAGACATACTGAAATATTTTGGAACAAAATATTGTCTCAAAACATTGAAAAAGGTTAAAGCAAGTAAACTCTCACTCTCACCAAATAAAACCACCCTCACGCAATACGTGTACAAAAAGATGGAGTTAAAATAATAAACTTATTAGTTAGAAAAACAAATACGAGTATGACAAGCATGCAAAAGGTTGAAATAATACTCTAACTATAAATGTAACTGAAAAGAAAGAGACTGTCATAAGGTTGAAAAACAAGAATGAAAAGAACTGCTACTAACCAAGTGTCATTGAAAATAAATATTTTTGATAATTGGATTGTGATTTCTCTTGGAGAAATCAAAATAAATACAACAAGAGTGCACAAATAGAACACTACCTCAAATTGTATATCATAGCATTAAACTCTTCTCTTATCAAGTCCATTTTGGTAGTAATATTCCTTTTCTTCTCTATGGTAACCGTCCCGATGTTGATCATTTCTCCATATGAGGCAGCAAGAATATCCCCTACTCGAGAACTTCTTTTGAACTTCAGCGCTTATCCGGTTTTGTCTTGCTGCCATTTAGCCCCTTTGAGATGAAAACATTGTTGTCCATGTGATTCTTGCCCTTGTCCCCTGAGGACATGGTTTTGTATATGTTGAAATATAAGACAATCAGTCCACAAGGGCACCATCACTCGCCATGATCATCCATATGGCTTTCGCAAGAGAATGAATACAAGCTTTAGGTATTCAAATGTTTTCATACACAAAAAAAATAAATAAATAAAAGAAGTTGTGATATGGCTCAACATACCATTTACTCTTTGATTGGCTTTTCTTCTAAGGAGCATTTGTGTTTTGAGATGTAATAGAATTAGTGATCAAGCTTAATTTTTTTTTTTAAAAAAATATGAATAACTTAAATGGCGAAAATCACAATGAATAACAAAAGTCAGGCTTCTTGGAGAACTTAAAAGAAAAAAAACCCTGAGAATTGATGTTAATGAAGAACTAGGATATTTTGTAGCTATTTTTTTCGCTCAACGAATAAGGAAAATTAGTATGACTAAATTCCCAGTCCCTAAATGCTGAAAGATAATTAAACCTTGATATTGGAGTTATATCCCACTTATCCCTGTGACTATGGTATTGTTGAGTAATATTGTCCAACATAATTTTTCCTTTTGACCAAAAACGAAGAAAAAGAATGACGCACATATCTGCAGCTTTTAGGCCAAAAAGTACAATCCTATTTTCCCCTTGTTACAGGTAGCAAGCAAAAGAAATCAGATTTTATTCCTTCTCTTTTCCTTAATTTTAGTGATAGTTAGAAATGCAAAATACACGAGCCTACGACGAAGTATACAACTTCTGAAGAATCTTACTTTTTAGCTTATGCATCATCACATTGTTTTACTCTTTTTTCTCTTTTGTCTACGTTTTATACAACTGCTTTTCTGGGTCACTGTGTACTTTCTCCATTTCAAATCATGTTTATTTGGCGAGAAAAACAAGGATACATTCTAAACACAATATTCATATCACTTCACTCGAACAAACATCTTCTTGATGGAGCTGTTATATGATGGGCTCTTTCATGATGCCACAGGTTAAATTCTTACTTCTAGTCTAAGTGAAAATTAAGCAAGTAACATGCCATTACATCATCGAAAGTTTAAATTTACATCACATGAAAGTATTCTAAGATGATCAAAATTATGGCTCGAAATAAAAAAAAGAAAAAGAAGTATTAAAATTAAATGTGTGGAAAGAAAATGTTTAAATTTAATTATAAAGGGTAAAATTGTGTTTTTGTCCTAATGTACCTGGTGAAAAATGCGGATTACACTTTCTATATTAGAGAGCAAGAACAGTAAAGAGATTAAGCATAAATGTAGTCCAAGAAGAAAAAAAAACATTGTTTTCGAGTGTCTCATCACATAATTTTGGGAAGGTTGCATTTATATAAGTTTGCTGATCATCTCTAAATGTATAAAACTTCCAATTCTGTTGTGAACTATAGTAAAAAATTTGCGACTGTTAATTAGTATCATAAAATGCAGGTTAATTAGTATCACAAAATTTACCCTAGGTACAAGAAACAAAACAAAACCATTTTGATTTTTTAAATTGTATTGTGATGAATCAAAGAATGCGTTGGCATCATATGGAAGTAGTTTCTTTATTTGTAGTTTCAAATCAATGCAAGGATGTTGTAGTAAGAGAAGTTTTTGTAATATACGAAAATTGATTCTTCTGTTACACTTTGGTAAGAAAATATAAAGGTTAAGAACCAATCCCGACAAATACTTGATAACATAACTGTGATCCATGAATTGAGGCAGTTAAGTAAAATCGATTTCTCACAAGTTAATTACATATAACAACATTTATCACTCCTTTTTTTCTTAAAAAAAACTAGCTTATTGGAATAAGGAAACGAAAGACATTTCCTTTCAAAATCATCATCATCATCATCATCTAAAACTAAAGTTTCATTACTGTTGGAAATGAAACCTCACAAGTTTCAGAACAAGAAATTCAAAAAAAGCGTTTGTAACTATAATTTATAACATATTTCTTTTTCAATTTCTTTCAAGCTATAAATAACCAAAAATTAATTCATGTAGGTCATATGCAAATGACATGGATTCTCAACCCGAATCCATTCTGAGTTCATGTTCCTCTAAATCCAAAGAATGTGGTTCAACAGCCCATTATAGCACAATTATAGACAAAACTCTTTGAATCCTTCCTACTGAGCAAAGTCCACTCTGGAGGACCTTCCTTCGGCTCCCATGCATTGATATCAAGAAACCCATAATTCATAGCCTGAGGGCCACCAATAACTATGATTAAATCACCGCAACCTCTAAACGCTGATCCCCAATCATTTGTCGAGGAGGCATTTTCCGGTAATCTTCCGATTGTCGTCCAAATATTCAGGCTCTTGTTGTATTTCTTCAAAAGCATTTCCTCATGATATGCCGCGTACAACTCATTCTTCACAACAACAAGTAAAGGAGGTGACCTCGTGGCTGCAAGAGCATACTCATCAACTCACTCTACAATTTGTCCAGGAAGCATATTCGGAATTTTCACCCAAACGTTCGTCTCCATATCAAATACCTTGCAGGATGTAAGCACTTTCGGGTTGCCAACTTCACCATCTACACCTTTTTTCTCAAGCCCAATCCGCCTACTCGCATACAATTTCTTGTCCATAACCACACCTGAACACAGTTTCCTTGGTGTATTTAGGCTCGGGAGAGGTTGCCACATTCCTGTGTTCGAATCATACATTTCTGCAAAGCCTAGAATCTTCCCTTTTGAATCACCACCAGCAGTCACGATAGCAATCTCGCTGAGGCTGCCAGAGAAAAATAGGCATCTTGGGGTGTTTGGAGTTACTCCATCCACCCACGAGTCTGTTACTACACTATACTTTTAAACACTAAGTGATTGGACTTCCCTACTGAAGATGAGAAGTTCAGTAGCCACAGCTAGCAACTCCATGTCACAGCACTTAAAACATTCACTAGTAGGAATGGGTGGTAAACCCCTATATTTACGCCCATTTGTATTAAAGGCCTGCATTTCCGCACTATTACATGAGAAGTAAACTCAATGCTCAACGATGCCTAACTTCCTCCTTAGCTTATAAAGCTCTTCTCCACCTAAGATAACGGACTTGAAACTATGATTCACCATCAAAATTACCATAATCCACCTTAGCATAGCGTGCTAAGCACTCCATCGAGAGATCACCACCGATATCCGAGATGAGTAAATTAGTGGCCGAATCACCACTATCTTTCATATCTTTTGCTTTATCGGCTATATTCTCACGTCTTCGGTTTGCAGTTTGAGTCACATCAAATGCACTTAGCAAGTCCTTCATGATGGGATTTGATACTATTTCTCACAATATGGCTTAGTCGAAATTAAACCTACAAGTTTATTTCATCATAATTTAGTAAAATATAGCAACTTCTTTAAAGGAAAAACATCATTGCCCCAAACTTATATAGAAAAGTATTTAACGAGCACAATATTAACAAGAAAAGTGAGCCATATAGAAGAGGTAAGAATCTATAAACAAAATCTATGTTTAGTGTTTACTAATGGCAAATGCAGAATATAAATGAAATATTGATATTTAAAATACACTATGCCAGTATAGTTTGTCAAGAATTTCATGAACCAGAAAGTAGAAAGTAGAAACCAAGTGGTTTGAAAGATCACTGAAATTGACAAATTTAGCCAATCTTAATAAATTCAGTTTAATGGAATACCGAAAAATGTTTTTATTTCATCTCAGGAAATAAAGTACATTTGAAAATAATTTTCCAAATATTATTGGGTTTCTTAATACACCTTCCCCATTATAAGATTAGATCTTTATATTACATATGTTAATGGGCAAAACCATATTTACACTACTAACTCAATGTGGATGTAGATGTTTGGCTATTAAATTGTTGAATCAAGTACCATAGCAAATGAACAATATATATAGAGAAATCATTTGTACATATATAACATCAATGACAGCTGGAAAAAGACCCACAAAAGATCCCAAAAAGGGGCATTCACAAAAGGAACCCCCAAATTGAAAGAATTTAAAGAGAATAAAAAATATTATATGGAGAGACAATATATTCTAAACTACAATTGAGAAAAACAGTCATTTCCAGTCAAATAAACACATAGAAATCCAATCAAAACTCAGTTTTCATTTTGTAAAATGAATGAAATTTGAATTAAAATGCTCCATTTTCATTCTCCGTACTGCCCTCCATTCCGTTGGAAATATGTGTGAAGGCCATTCATGCCCTTTATCTTAATTAGTAGTGAATGTATTTTCCAGTGGAGTTGGGGTTATTTTGAGATTTTGGTAATCTAAAATAAATTTCTCAATCATTGATATTTTTTGAAATTCTTTAAAAAGAGAAGAATATTCTTTCTTTCTTTTCTTTTATACAAAGATTATTTTAGTTGATTGAAGTCAAATTTTGGTTGGTAATTAAAATACTAACTACGTTGAGGGAAGAAAACCGTATCTAATTAAGATGAATGAGGGAGATTTAATTTAATTACTAATTCTTCAACATTCTTTAGGTTTGATTTTTAATATATGCATAGAATGGTAGGTAAATTGTCTTAGTTTAGTAAACTAGTTAATATTTTTATTCCAATTTATTGATTTGGTGTATTTTGAGTTTCCTACTAATTTTTGAGTGATTAATGTTTGACTAAAATATGATGCAAAAGAAATTCCTTCCCTTTTCTTAAATTTGTTTCCATCATATATTAAATAAAATAAAGCATCAACAACTTGTCATTTCGAGCACCACGTGTGTTGTGAGAAAGGGAAAACAAGAAGAGCGAGAAGAAAAGAAATGTAGATCAGGACAAGGCTAGCTGAAATATGATGAAGGAGAAATGTGAAAGTTCACTGCTTTTATCATATGACAAATTCAAAATGTGACTTATTTTTTCCTTTTGTTTTGAATCAATCTTTCACTCTTTCATAATGTTGATCAATCTACTATACAAACAACCTTTACATAAGAATAAAATAATCCGTGATTAATTATCATGGACAATAAAATGGCTTCAAGAGAAATGGGAAACTATTTATTAGTTAGCCGTCAGCTTAATTAACACTGTATGGTAAATTCACTCAATTATATAATAATATGTGGTTCATTGAAGCAATTGATGTTGTGATACCTATTGCTAGATAACAAAAATGTGACTAAAAAATGAAAAATAACTATCACCGCAATAGTTTCTACCATTTACTTTTTCACGGAAAGAAATTACTGGAAAACATATGTCAATACTCGATTTTAATTGTATCATATTTTTGGAGGGAGAAAGCACGTGTTAACATGCATGCCAACACGTTGAAATAATAAAAATATAGGTAATTGTAAAGAAAACAATTTAAATATTAAAGCGGTTTGCATTACGAAGGAAGGATAGAGATTAGATTGAAAAGAGACACTATTTGCCAAGTGTACTCTGTACAGAAATTTTTTTTTGACAATTGGCATTTCAATATTCTTTTTTAAAGAAATTAAAGAAAGAAAATAATAAAAAGGAAACTAAGAAATGATGATTAAATGTATGTAAATACTAAATTCGTACATCCACCGCACGAGACCATTGATAAATTAATGATCTTAGAAATGTGTAGAGCAAATGAAAATTAGCTGTGTTTTCCGTTTCTCAATATAATTCCAAGTTGGTCAGTTGGCAATCTCAATTCAATATAATGAAACTTTTATGTTAGCTAGAAAATGACTATAGAAAGATTTTTTTGTTTTTAATCTTGGATCTTATTTATTTCTATTTGTTCATTATCTTATTTCGAAATCTGATTTTATTTATTTATTGATTTTGTTAGACATTTAATCACTTTATTTCTGCACACTGGTACCGTTCTTTTTTAATTTTAATTTTCTTGTTTTTTTAATTTTGTTATGTGTTCACATTAGAGAATGATATGCAACATAATGTTAGAAATCATTGGCTCGTGTAAGGATACGTCTTGTAACTAGTACTCTCTCGAACCCATTTTAATATATTAGTACAAACATCGTAATAGAGTCAATAAAAACCTAATAACAAATAAATTAGTTTTCAAACCACAAAAGCTAACATACAAATGATTGGAGAAAGGAGCAATATATGACGCTGATGTTGCTGCTGATGATGATCAAGTAACACGAACTCCAAAATATATTACCATAGCCTATCTGAGATGATCAACAATATTATTTTCACTTTATAGCCGATAGGCAGCAATCAAAAGCAATTCCCCCATTGTTTTAGTGCCAGTTATATATGCAACAAACGCGTATGTATAAAAGTACAACTTTTGAAGTTTCTAGCTTTTAGATTTTAGGTTGATGAGCATCATCAAATGATTTTAATTTACCCTTTTACTTTGAAATGCTCCTTCAAAAGGTGCAGACTTAGATCCTACTTTGTCAATTTTATAGGTAAAACCTAGCAGACTCATCAAATAAGAACCATGATCTTAAGAGTAACTAAAGTTCATGTAAGAGATACGCAAGACGTAACCATGAATTTCATGACTGAAATAAATGTAATAAAGTAATAAGTGAATGAATATAATTTGTAACAAAGAATTTAACATATTTTGCTCGTATCAATTTGTCCACCCATAAATACGTCACCACATGTAGTCTTTCCTCATTAACTATCCCTTCATAATAAAAATTATATCAAATTTATATAATATGGATAAAAAAATAAGCTATCCACAAGAAACCTTTAGTGTTTGTAAAAGAATTCTAGTACTCTGTTTAATCTATATATCAACAAATACTAGTTCAATTAATTCTATCGATTAGTAAAACATAAAATTAATTTCTTGCAATGTACACAATCATTATTTTGGGATAGAAAAAATAGTTAAATCTTAATTTTTTCCCTCTTCCTACCTCTACTTTTTGACTTCCTCATAGGAAAAAGTATTACGATTGGACTTTGTAGGACCGCTCCTTGACAAAAAGTTCTCAATAAATAATAAACCCTAGTTCTATATCAATCAGATAAGAACTTGTACAATTGAATAATCATTCTCTTAGATAATTTGTTTGTGGAAAGTAGCCTATATTTTTTCCATAGGATAAAATCGGCTGTAAGCATATTTGGAGCACTCTTCGTCCAGTAAGCCAAAACTAATCTCCATTCCTCACCAAATTTTGATATAGAATGATATTTTTTAACCGCTCAAAAGATGAGAATTAATTTTAAGAGCTCATTGTATATTGGAAGAAATAATTGTTTGGAAAAAAAATAATTGTCAATATTTTGATAATGGATATTTATGACTAATCTCTTTTGCTAATGAGATGTGAATAATCATCATCCACATTCAAAACCGTAAAACTATCATCACACATTCATCTGGTAGTTCCAAAATCTACTTCAACAACATAGTCCATCATCTAGTCTGAGTTCATATCAACAGCAAAGCTTGCAATATGGTGTGCATGTAGAGGATCTAAGTTGATTTTCTGCCCAAGTGCGCCAGAGAACGTATTTCATCCCTCGGAACTAATAACACAACCATTTGAATATTTTCTTCCCAGTTTTCCACACAATATGCTCGTGCCTTGGAGAGATCTTCAATAATTTGGGATTTCGATCATCATAATAATTCCCTGAACGGTCACTGTGCAAAACTAGTGACCGCAACAAGTCACAACAGGGTCTTTAACTGTGTCCAAACATATTCCACAAGCACATTCAACTCCATATTATTCCTTAAGAGCCTTCTTCACCAAACTCTATTTATTTTTGAATGACTAACTGCTCTTCATAGGCATTTTGTCAACTACAGCACAGTCATCAGGTTGCGTCATTTGCCAAAGTTCTTCCATAGGCCTAACCGTTGTTTGATCTTCCATGTTATCCAACGCAGCAGGCTCAAGATTTTTGTTCAAATCTCGAGTAACCGGAGATCCGAGATTAATGGCATTTGAGTATTCAGCTACAATTTTGCATAGTGTAAAATTACTCAAATGAAAGCTCAATTGGAGAAAGCTTCTTTGTAGAATTAGCAGTGGTGAAAAAATTAGTTGTTGAACTTGAATTTGACTCAAAACCCAAAAGGAGTAGAGATAACTTACCAAAAAGTTTAGTAGAGTTCTTACTCAGCACACACACTCACACATCGACTCTAGTCTTGCCAAACCAAAAGATAGAGGCCATAAAAAAACAAAAAGAAAAAGACCTTAGTCAAAGGAAACACTTTTGAAACTAATTTAAATAAATGGAACAGAGAGGAAAACACATGTTGAAGATTATTATCATTTGGCTGAAATGGTTTTCTACATTTGTAACTTTTTTGATCTTTCG